CTGTGGTCTGCGCCCTGGTGGTGGCCCGGCCCGGTCCTGCCCTGGGCCTGCGTGGCCTCCTGGCCGCCCGCCCCCATGAGCGTGGGCGCCCACGCGCGGCTCCCGCAGTGCGCGGTCCCCCGGCTCCACGCCGCTCCCTTCGGCGGCCTCGCGGGCGTCGGCGCCACAGGTAAGACGGGGAAGGGTGGGGCCCGGGGGGGCCGGCGTCGGAGAACCACGCGTGGCTGGAGAGGGCAGGTCCCCACGACTGCGGGCCTGGCCGTGGAAACTGAGGCACGGTCTTGCTGAGAAGGAGCCCGGAGCCGGACAGGGGATACAAGGGCCGCAGGGGACGCGCGCTGCCTGCGTCTCCGCATCCCCGCCCAACAGGTCTTTGAGGGTAAGGCTTGGAGACTCAGACGCTGCCCCCAAAACTGCTCTGTCCCGAGTTCGCGACCCATTCCCAGCGCGGCGGTGCGCGCCACTGCGCGGTCCTGTACAGTCCCGAGGCGCGCAACTGTCTGGCCCGCTCGTGTCTGCGGACTTGGGTTCCGCCCTGGAGCGTGCGGAGCCTGCTAGCTGGCGAGCGCTTGGGACCGCACCTAACAACTTGGAGTACTGCAGTCCTCTAGCATGAATCTGCGCAAGCTTTTGCCACATGAGGCTGGGTAGTTCAGGGTTGCTTATGTTCCCACGATGAAAAAAGAAACAAAGTTAGTTCAAGCCTTAACTTCCATACCAAGATCATTGCAACGGAGTTTTGCCTGGTTCCTGCTCTGGCCCTCCGTCTCCCCGTCCTGCATGTTCTCAGCCCTCCCGCAGTGCACCAGCGCCCCACCCCCAGCCCTGTCCAGACTTGAGCTCAGGGCCTGGGAGCTGTGCTCACCCCTCCAAACCACTTCTGAGCTCTTTGAACACTTAAGGCTGAATCGCAAATTACTCATTTTTGTTCCACTTGTCTCATTTTCATTTACTTTTTGCGTGAGTTTTACATTCCAACAGTCCAAGAGCTTCAAAATATCGTTTCCTCTCTCACCCTGTCCCCTAGTCACTCACTAAGGGAGGTATTTTATGCTTATTTATTTGGTGCATGATACAAGGGCCTCACTATGCAGCTCGGACCCTTAGTGAGCCTCCAGTTTTCAGCCCCCCCCCCCCGTGTTAGAATTACAAGGGCGTGTGCCACTTCACCCGTACTTATTCCCTGGCTCAGCATGCCTGGGGTGGAGGGGAGAGACTGGCGCTGCATGTGTTGGAGGGATCGAACCTAGGTTCCTGGGCTTGCCTAAGCAGGCGCTTAGTCCATTGAGCTATTTCACCGGCCCTTTTATGCAGTTTAATACCTAAGTATGAACCACATACATCTATTTTTTTCTTTCCTGGCCCTGCGCATACCATACACACTGCACTTTTTAAATTATCTTTTTTTACACACTGCACTTTATACCTTTCTTTCCTTTCCTTTCCTTTTCTCTCTCTCTCTCTCTCTCTCTCTCTCTCTCTCTCTCTCTCTCTCTCTTTCTTTCTATTTTCCATCTTTCTTTCTGTCTTTTGTGAGACAAGGACATACTATGCAGTTTAGATTGCCCTTAAACTCACTGTGTAGCCCACCCAGGCTGGCCTCGAACTCACAGTGATCCTTCTTTAGCTTCCCAAGTGCTGGGGTTACGGGCATGTGCCATTGCGCCCACCTTACACTTTTCACTTTGACCATGTTTTAGGTGTTTCTAGTCTACAGAGAGCTTCTTTTACAACCACAATGAAATCCATGGTAAGAATGTAAGCTAATCAGTCAGATAGCATTGATTGTTTCTCACTTGCTTTTACAGTCTACACAGTGCTACAGCGAATGACCCTGCACACAGAATATTCCTGAATAGCTGGAATTGTTGGGCTAAAGCATATGCACTCACAGTTTTACCAGATTGTCCCCTGCAGAGTTTACAGCAGCTCTGCACTTGTCTCTGCTGTGGGTAAGAGTGGCTGCTTTCCCCACAACCAACAGTGTTTCACTCAACTTTTTTTTTTTTTTTTTTTTTTTGTGGAACCGGGGATAGAACTCAGGCCCTGTGCTTGCCAGGGAAGCGCTTATTCCACCGAGCCATCTCCCTGGCTCCTTTTTTTGTTTTTTGGTACAGGGTCTTGTTATGCAGCTCAGACTCATAGTGATCTTCCTGTCTCAGCCTCCCCAGTGCTGAGATTACAGGTGTGCACCCCCAGGGCTATACAGCATACAGTACTGGGGACCTAACTCGGGTCCTTGTGCTTGACAGAGCTATCTCTTTGAAACAGACCTTTATTTATTTTTTAATTTTAAGACAAGTTTTTCCTAAGTTTCCTAGGCTAGGAAGCAGAACTTGAAACTCTCCTGCCTCAACCTCCAGAGTAGCTGGGATTTAAATCTATTAATCTTTTTTATGAATGAATTGGTATATCTAATATCGAGCTTGGGAAGAGCCTTCCCACTTTAAGGTCATGAAAGAATCCTCTCCTGGTCTCTTTTGAGTTATGTGAATATACTTTTTTGCATTTAAAGACATATGGGCTGGGGATATAATTCTCAGTGGCACAGTGCCTGTCTGGCAAGCGCAAGGTCCTGAGTTCCACTCCTGGTACCAAAACAGCCAAGCCAAAAAAACAAAAAAACAAAACAACAACAACAACAAAAAAAACACCCAACACACTTAAATACTTGCTCCATTTGGAATTTTTCTTTCCTTTCTTTTTAGTTCGTTTTTTTTTTTTGTTTTGTTTTGTTTTTTTGTTTTGTTTTGTTTTTAAACTGAACCCTGAGCCTTCAAACTGAGCTACTTCAACTACTTTCAGTCCTCTTTATTAGACAAGGTCTACCTGGGTTGGGTTTGCACTTGCAGTCCCGTTTCTTCAGCCTCCTAGGATGCGAGGGTTACAGGTGTGTGTCCCTGTGCCCTGCTTGAAATTTTTCTCTATACAAATCCAGTTTATTTTTTCCCAGATCTAGAATCCATCTGGAAAGAATTTTTCTCTTCCCCCAGTGCACTTTTCTCTTGGGTTGTTGTATACATGTATAGAATATACCTATCTATCTATATAGATACAGATTTTTTTTTAATTTTTAATTTTTTTGGCAGAACCGGGAATTGAACTCAGACCTTGAGCTTGCCAGGGAAGCAAGCTCTTCTACTGAGTCATCTTGGAAGTGCGGAAACGCTTATTCTACTGAGTCATCTCCCCAGCCCAGATTTTTTTTTTATGTATTTGGTGTAGGGTCTCACTACGCAGCTCAGACTCACAGCCATCCTCCTGTTTTCAGCCTCCCCAGGGATGGGATTGCAGGTGTGTGCCATTCTGGCAGGCTCAGTGCGCCCGAGGGCGGGGCTGATGCAGTGTGTGATGCCAGGGATGGAACCCTGATCCCTGAGCTTGCCTAAGCAGTCCCCTGAGCTATCTCGCAGGCCCTTAGATACAGATTTTTTTAGAAAAAGAATTTTTAATTTTATTGGTACATATTAGCAATTCATGCAGTTTACAATGATCTTGGGGATATGTTGTATTTTAGGAGGGGGTCTACAGGGTATTCAGGGTCTCACTACTAGATTAGACTCATAGTAATCTGCCTGTTTACAGCCTCCCAAGAGCTGGGATTATAGGTGCATGGCACCATGCCCAGCCTCAATTGCTGTCTCAGCATTCTCCAGGGGGTGGGGCCAGCACAGCAGGGCCCGGGGATCGAACCCCTGGACCCTCTGCCTGTTTGCAGGTACTTTAATCTGTTGAGCTATTTGGCCAGCCTTTTTTTTGTTTTTGAGACAGGGTCTCACTATATAGTGGAGGCTGGCCTTGAATTCACAGTGACCCTCCTGCCTCAGCCTCCTAAATTGGGGGGAATTACTGGCCTGAGTCACCATGTTTGACTCTGGCATGGTTTTAAATCCCATAACATCTGGAGGTAGATAGTAGGTGGTGATAGCAGTATCACTATTTTGCACGAGGAAGTCCAGCTCACAGACATAGACCGACTCCCATATAGCCCATTCCTTTATCTCCTTCATATTCTGACTCAGGAACTTCCCCCTGGCTAATGCATCTCCCCTGGTCCATAGCTTGATGAACAAAATTGAACTTCTGTGTCTCTTAGAAAAGAGGATCTCTCCCTCCAGACAGACAGCACGAAGAACTGGCCTGCAGAAAGTACAAGGAATTTCATACTCCACTCACTTCTCAGCTGGGTGCAAAGAACAAGCTGTACATAGTGATACTGTTCAAATGCCACCCCAGTAAGGTGGTCACCAGGTCTGAAGATGCAAACCGCCCCCCTCATGCAACCTCTCATCCCATCCTCCCTTCTCTGCTTTTTCCCTTCTTAGCACGTTCTGCTCTCTGATATGGTAAATGTTGGACCTATTTACTTTGTTCACTTTCTGTTTCCCCACTTCCAAGATGTAAGCTCCATGGACACAGGAATTTGTTGTGTGCTGTAATTATGCTCGCCGAATAGCAGACATTCGAAAAGAGGCTGCTGAATGAATGAAAAGGGGGTAGCCCTGGAGGTTGCTAATGAAAAAGAGGAGGGCAAGGAAAGAGAAGCCTTGAGAACTCCTATTAGGGGTCAGAAGTCCAGTCGCTCAGCTGGAGAATAGTGCAGGGAGAAGGTGTCTCAGCATTTCCCCTCCTTTTACCTTTGCTTTTAGTTATTTCTGCAGCTTTTTCCACTGTGCCTTATCATTACTGGGTCAAGAGGAAGGCAGGGCACTGGAGGCCTCTGTCCTCCAAAAGGGGTCCAGGTGGCTGCTGACTGACCTTCCTCTGCCGGTTGCTCTTTAGGATGGGAACTGCCTCAGTGCTCAGGCCTCTGCGGACCCCTAGACTGGGCCCCTACCGAGGGCCTTCAGGACACAGAGCGACACCAAAGGAGAGTTCGAACTATGTTTAACTTGGAGCAGCTGGAAGAGTTGGAGAAAGTGTTTGCAAAACAACACAATCTTGTGGGAAAGAAGAGAGCCCAGCTGGCAGCCCGGCTCCACCTTACAGAGAACCAGGTGGGGGTGAGGACTCCTGCAGAGCTGGGGACACACACCTCTGGAGAGCCCTAAGTGGAAGTTGGGAAGGAGACGCAGGCCTTCTTCCTGGGTGCCAGCTCTCCAGGAGACAGGACTAACTTTCTTTATTCCAATTTTGGCTGGGGAGATGGCTCAGTGGAATAAGAGCTTCCCTGGCATGCACAAGGGCCTGAGTTCAATCCCCTATTCTGCCAAAATAAATTAAATAAATAACTTTCTTTATTCCTTAGGTAATGAGAGAAGTAGTCCATTTGAACTGACATAATGGGGGTAACATGCAATATTGATCTAGAACTTTATGATAAAGAAGGTATTTCCATGCTAAATAAGGAACAAAATCAAGCAGATAGTCAAGAGACTTTTAAAAAATAATAATTATTCCCATGACACCCCCCTCCCACCCCATGAACTCACTACATAGCCCAGGCTATTCTCCAACCCTGGTGTCATTCTCTCCTATGGGCAAATCTCGAATTCACTGCATTCATTTCCTCCCTCCATGTCTTCACCTCCCATTCGTTCCTTAACTCGTTCCAATAGACACTTTCCCTCCCATTCTTCAAATCGTCACAGCAAATTCTCCAGTGACCTCCATTTTTTTTCTTTTCAAAGTTTTATTGATAAACATATAGCAATGAGACAGTTTCAAATCAAATCGAAAGTACAGTTTCAACAAATAATACACTGCATCTATTCTTCTTAGTGGTTAATTGCTGTACAAGTTGCAGACTTGTGATCCTACTTACAAACACCATTAGAAAAAATCATTCTATTCATTAAGAGAATGCAACTATATATCTATCCCAACCACTTTGAATACACAGATACAAAATGGACATTCATAGTTATACCCCAATTTTTTTAAGTTCTGTTGTTGAATATTATAGGTGTGTAAACTCAGCAAAATATTCTAGAAGAGTCCAGTAGCCCATAATAGCATTGGGTCTTCTGTTTCACTGGCAATGTCAGAAATTATTGACCTGAGTCCCCCACAGCTCAACATAACAACATGGCTTTACTTCCTATATTTCATCTTCATACTTTTCTACTGGATGGTTAAGACCAAGGTAAAGCAGGACCTGTGCAACAAGAGTTGTAGCTTTTTGGTGACCTCCATTTTTTAAAAAATAATTTTATTGACAAATAGCAATGAGACAGTGTCAAAACCGATTAGTAGGACAGTTTCAATAATACATTGCATATTGTTGTCTTTGTAGTGGTTAAAAAGTTTTTTGTTTTTTGGGGGTACTGGGGATTGAACTCAGGACGTTAGGCTTGCCCAGGCAGGCGCTTATACCCTTGAGCTATCTCCCCAGCCCAAGCTCCATTTTGAGAAGGCTAACAAATGCTTTCCTTCCCCAGCTACATCACTCTGCAGCAGCTCTCATTACAGCTGACCCCTTCTTCCTTCCTGAAACACCTTCTGGGGTTTCCTTCCAGCTCTCTGATCACTTCTGTTTTGTTTCTTTTTTATAATTTTATTGAGAAACAAAAAGCAGTGAGACAGTTTCAAAACCGATTAGTAGGACAGTTTCAATAAGTAGTACATTGCATATTGTTGTCTTAGTGGTTATTCATAGTACAAGATGCAGACATGATATCCTGTCCACAAACACTATTAGAACAAATCTTTCTATTCATTGAATTAAGAGAAAATAGCTGTATATTTGACCTATTTTGAATATACAGATACAAAATGGTGGTTCATTTGTATCCCCTTTTTTTGTTTAGTTTTGTCAGAGAAGGGTATTCCATAGTCATTTAAATATTATAGGTGCGTGAATTCAGCAAAATATTCCAATATAGTCCAGTAGTCCATAATAGTAGTGGGTTTTCCATGGGACTGGCAATGTCAGAAATTGTTGACTTGAGCCTTTTTCAGCTCAGCATATTAATATGGCTTTACTTTTTATACTTTGTTTTCATACTTTTCTGCTGGATGGTTAAGACCAAAATAAAACAAGTCCTACATAATAAGAAATGTAATTTTTGTATCTGATAAGGTCAGTCAAATCCCCTCAGAATTTAGCCTGAAACCCTGTACTGCAGTTTGTAGATCCTTTGTCAGTGTCAGCCATGTGGATGAGTCACAGCCATTGCTTGACCAATTTGCTCTCTGTGAAAGCCTGAGAGATTGTTTTCTCTCCATGTGACTCTCCTTAGGCACACTCTACATCATCAATCACTTTCCTCTGTGGCCCCAAAACTTCCTTGATCAGAAAATTAGGGACACAACTGAGTTACATGATGTTACAGTACAGGTTCTCCTATGTCCTCACTGACCTTGAAAGGCTAGGGCCAAAATAATGGCTGTCATTGCAGCCCTTCTTTTTCTCTAATTTTTGATCTGCAAACTTAGGTTGTTAACCCTCCAGAAGAGAAGCTTATTATTATTACCCTATAACATAGGCAGTTGAGCTTAACCTCCCTATCTGAATATCAAACATCTTAGACATAACATGAAACAGGTATTTTCCATCAAGTATTGATATGTTAAACTTTAAGTCCCTACAGTCACTTCTGTTTTTAAAGGCTTCTTTCTTTTGGGACATCAAACGCTAGGACTAGTCTCATCTATTCCCATGGTTTGACATACCACCTCTAAGCCCAGCCCATTCTCCTAAGACCTTCTAGCTGAGATACATCACCAACCCTTTATATTTTGAGTCAGGGTCTTGCTAAATTGCCTAAGCTGGGCCTGAACTTGAAAGCCTGCCTCAGGCTCTCAGAGTTATGGGGTTATAGGGATGTACCACCACACTTGGTTTATTTGGCTCCTTTGTCGCCAGTCTCCTTCTACTTGATTGTGAGTTCCATGAGGACAGAGACTATGTCTCTATTGCTCACCATTGTATAACTAACACCCGGGATGGTGTCCACACATCATAGAATTCCATGAAGTAAACACTGGGGTGGATGCATGGTGATTGAAGCCTTTTGGAGGAGTGTTTCCTATAGCAGGAGGAGCAACTGGTAGCAAGGTACCAAGAGGTAGCCAGGTAGCAAGAGGTAACCTCTGTGGGGAAATAGGAGATTTGCTGGTCACATTCTGATGTCTGCCCTCTGTTCTGGATTATAGGTGAGGATCTGGTTCCAGAACCGCAGAGTCAAGTATCAGAAACAGCAAAAGCTGAAACTTCCAGCCCTGTCTGCTGTGGCTGCCTCCCCAGATGAGCCCTCCAGCAGCTCCGACAGCAGCATTCACAGTGAAGACGCTGAGTCAGGAGCAGACAGCTGTGGACTTTGAGGCCCTACTTTCTGGGCTGGTTCTTCCTGAGGGCACCCACTGGACCACTACTCAACAAAGAGCCTCCTCAAGGCCAGAGGGCACCAAAGGAATTTAAACTGTCAAGCAGGGCTCCCTTTTCTTTCTCTCTTTTTTTATTGCTCTTTTTGACACAGGATCTCACTATGCAATTCAGGCTGGCTTTGTTGGTCTCAAACTTGAAACGATCCTCCTGCTTCAGCCTCCAGAGTGCTGGGATTACAGGTGTGGGCCACCATGCCCAGCGTGGGTTCCCTTTTCTATATCAACCCTGGGAACAGGAATAATATAATGGGCAGAGGCATGGACTTTGGCTGTCAGCTTTGTCCTTGACCAAATCGCTGAACTTCTGAGCCATTTCCCTTCATTTGTGTAAAGGGTATATTGATAACTTAGACGTCTCCAAGATGACATAACATCTGTAAAGCATTCACACTGTGCTAGGTTCAGTGATAAATGTGCAGTAATGGCTAAGGCTTTTAGGTTTCCCCAACTGAGGGAGTGATACCTTTATCAGCCCTAGCTTTGCAGGGGTTGGTTAATCCATCTTTTCCCAGCCTGCCATGGAGGAGAAAGGGCTTCATTTAATCAGTGCCTAGGCCTAGCAGAATCTTCCTCACCGGAGATGGTGGAGTAGAGAGCAAAAAAGAAGAGGAAGGGCAGACTGCATAGCCTGCTTCTCTTCACAGTTGCCTAACATTTTCTTCATTTGCCTGAACTGTTACCCCTCTCAGAAGGTGCTCAGCTTCTCCCCGAGCAACATGCCATCCTGACCATCTTTTATTCTCCAGCTACCTGCCTCCACTTCCTCCTCCTCATTATGTAGAATAGAGAATTCTGAGTCCATTTTGTCAGAACATTGCTTTATTTTCACAAAATACTTAGGTCGCTTCCATGCCAGGTCCCCTACAAATCCTGACTCGTGGCTGCCTTTCCTTCCCAGAAATCTGCTCAGTTTCCAGGGAGCCTGCTCATATCCTGCTCTGGTGAAGCCAACAACCTTCATGTTTAGACTATTTATTCAATAATGACTAGGGATGCAGAGTGAAAGAGGTGGGGTGGTGATGGAAGGAGGCTGGCTTTGCCTCCTGGTGTAAGAAGCCAGGTTCCTAGCTACTCTCCGGCAGCTTTCTGAGGGTGGGGGAGGAAAGGCAAGGAGCCAAGGAGGCCTTGGAAAACAACCTGGACCTAAGGGGGTGGTTTCCTGGGTAGGAAAGGAGTTTGAGGGGAGCCAGCGTCCAGCCATAAGAATGCTTCTCTTGCTGGGCATGGTGGTACATGCCTGTAATCCTGGAAGCTGAGGCAGGAGGATTACTTTGAGGCCAGTCTAGGCTACATATTGAGCCCAAGCCCAGTCTGAACTACATAGTGAGAACTTGTCTAAAAAAAAAAAAAAAAAAAGAAGGCTGGTGAGATAGCTTAGTGGACTAACACCTGCTTAGGCAAGGGCAGAGACTGAGGTTCCATCCCTGGTCCAGCATATCTGGCCCCACCCCGGGTCACACTGAGCTGGAGACCGAGTCGGTGTGGTGGCACACACTTTTAATCCCAGTGCTGGGGAGGCTGAAAACAGGATGACTAAGAGTCGGAGCTGCGTAGTGAGATCCTGTACAAAATACAAAATACATACATAAAGCAACAACAAAGAATGCTTTTCTGTCTCATCTTCAGGGAAGGCCATCTCAAGGCAGGATCCAAAATCAGTTCTATTAATCAAAGAAATCCAGCTGCATCTGCCAGCTTGAGAAAAAAATTGGGTCACTTGTATTTATTTTTTGTGGTATTGGGGATTAAATGTAGGGTCTTCACATTGAAATATGTGATCACATGTTCAGCCCTCATTTATTCTATTTTTTAAATTTTGAGGCAGGAGCTTGTTAAGATGCCTAAGCCTCAATCTTAGGATCATCCTGCTTCAGGCTTCCAGACTCTTGGGATTTCAGGCATGCCAACTATACCTGTCACTTTTTTTTTAATCAATAGACCAGTTACCTATTACTGACTACCCAATCCCCAAATGCCACCATGAGACCACAGCAGGTGCAGACAACACGTTTGTTTTTAAGGAACAGGAAATCAAGGAAATATAGTAGTCAGGCTTCGCTGTGGGGACAAATGCTATAGGCCCATGGTTGGCAGCTTTTGGAGGTGCTAAACATGGGGACACACGTCTCTCCTGTTCTGAGAACAATCACTTTTACATCCAATTTAAGAGGTCCTTAGACTTGACTTAAGGTTGACTCTGGATCGATCTTTCCGTTACACAAGGTGGCAAAAGTCGCTAAGCCCCTGAAGAATCTGAGTTAGACACCCGTCCAGCGTCTCGCTCAGGCTTTTCTAGGACAGTCTGCCCCACTGCGGTGGGTTTATGGAGAAAGAAAGGAAATCTTGTATCAGACTATAACTGCCTTTCAGGGTTCTATCCTTCGGCCCTGTCCAGAGAGGGATTTCTCAGTTAGCAAGCCACTTGGTAGGTAGGGCACAGTAGACACAAACGTGAATTCAGACTCTTACATCAAAACTACACATACATAGACTCCGCTATTGGGCCACGCAGGCTGGCAGGCACAAAGCGGCAGAGCTCTGACAGCACAAAAGCAAGCCCAGTTACAGCTAGTCTATGAACCACGGAACGGAAATTCCAGCGCCCCCGAGCGCAAGTCTCCACCGTCCCCAGGCACGCACCAGGGGGCGTGGCCTAGGGCGGAGCTTCCCGGGTTGAGGCGGGGTCAAGGGTCAGAAGGCGGGGGCGTGCCCAAGATGGCGGCCTCCATGTGCGAGGCGTTCTCCTTCTGCGTGGGCGTGGCGGGTTCGGCCCGGGTTGCAGTGGAAGTTCGATTCGTGAGCAGCGCCAAGGTGAGGCCAGGTCGGATCCCTCCTGGAGGCCGGGCTCGTGAGGGCTTGGAGACAGCCCGGGGGATTTACGCGTGGAGGTTCTTGTACCGCTTGGCCCGGCCCCTGCTCGTAGTCCAGTCCCCTGTCTCCATGCTCCGGCTGCTACCGCTGTCTCACGCTAGATTCCCGTCTCCAGAATTTCAGTGCGCGCCCCGTTCGCGCGGAACCTCGTTCCCCTGCCCGCAGCCCCTTGTGGCTGCTTTAGGCGGATCTGGGGGCTTTAGGCCTCCTGGGCCGGGCTGAAGGCATTGCTGCCGGGACCCGCGAGCGGTTGATGGGGACGTCCTGGGCGGAGAGACCTCAGCTGTAGAAAATCAGGGGTCTTCGGGGACCTTTTGTGTGCGATATGGGTGGTAGGGTGCGGAGTGACCTGGACCTTATGAAGGGTCTTGAAGCGCTAAGGAAGTTGGGTGAGACCCCAAGTGCCAGGCGAGCATTTGAGGGCTTTTAAGCAGCAATGACAGGATTTCGTTTTTACTATGTTGTAGAAGTTCGTTGTAGAAGAAAATACAGAGTGAATCGAAGTAAACTAAAGATAAAAATCACTTAATCCCACTCAGAGTAAAAAACAGGATGTAAGGACGAACTGGCTGCAACCTCTGTCATCGCCTTTCCTCCCTCGTTGGCTGCTCGCGCTGGGAGGAGGAAGACCGCCCCTGTTTCCTTGGTCAGGGGTAATCAAGTAGCTGCGCTCAGCTGCTGGAACCAGCAGACAAGCTCTCAAGAGTAGAAGACGTGAAAAATAGTAAAAGATTTAAACCAAAAAGATTCTTACAAAAAAGAACACAAAACTTTCTTTTAAAGAACTAAGATAAACTAGTAATATAAAAAATTAGCATATATATTATTTCTTTACTTTTTGTCTTTTTGAGACAGGGTCTCGCTAAGCAGTTCAGGCCGGTCTTGAGCTCACTTTGTAGCCCAGGCTGGTCTTGAGTTCTCAATGATCCTCCTGCCTCAGTCTCCCTAGTACTGAGATTAGGAGCGTGGACCATCACACCTGGCTTTAAAACTTCTGCTTACTTGCTTACTTGCAAGCAAAGAATTCTTGCAAGTGAAAGAATTCTTGTTTTTGGTTTTTTTTTTTTTTTTTTGTGTTGGGAGTTAAACTCAACCTTATGCATGCCAGGCAGGTGCTGTGCTGCTGAGCTATAATCCCGCCCAACATATATATTGAAATATCTTTAAAACATTGGAATTTGTAACTTGGAGAAGTATTTGAACTTCTTTCTGCTTCCTATTTGTCTGTCTCTGTCTCCTCCCTTTCTCCCTCTTCTCCCCCGCCCCACAACTAGTAATATATGGTGGAGTGTTTCTCATATGAGAGAAACTGTGTGATATTTGAGATTCTGTGTCTGACTTCGGTTAGCTTTATGTTTTCATGTTGCATCCACTACCTACAAATGCTTTGTCTTTATGTCAGTGTAGTACTCCATTATGAATAAATACCACAATCTTTTTATCCATTCATCAGTTGATGGATATATATGCTGTTTTCAAAGTCTAGCTATTATAAATTATGCTGTCATAAACAAGGGTATATGTATGTCGCTGTAATATGATGATTCTCATTCTTTTGGAAGAGAGATAGCTGGGTCAAATGAAATTTCTATTTTTAGATTTTTGAGGAATCTCCACACTGATTTCCATAGTGGTTGTACAAGGTTCCAGTCCCACCAACAGTATAGAAGTGTTCCTTTTCCTCAACATTCTCAACAACATTTGTTACTGAATAATTTGATGATAGCCTTTCATTTCAGGAGTAAGGTGGTATCTTAGTGTAGTTTTAATTTGCATTTATCTGATGACTAGTGATGAGCATTTCTTAATATATTTATTGGTCATTTGTAATTCTGAGAAGATTGCCCTTTTTTTAATGTATTTTGTACAAGGTTTCACTATGCAGCTCAAACTCAGACTTGTAGTGATCCTTCTGTTTTTAGCCTCCCCAGCGCTGGGATTACAGACATGCTCCACCATGCCTGGACTTGGACACTGGCTCAGTGAGCCTGGGGTCAGGGCCGGCACACTGGCGGTTGAACCCTGGCCCCTTGCACTTGCCTAAGCAGTATTTAGTTTGCTAAGCTATCTCACTGGCCCAGTTCCCCATTTTTTTATTGGGTCTTTGGGAGGTCTAATTCTTTTTTTTTTTTTTAAATATTTATTTATTTTTATTTATTACATTTATTTATTGTGTGTGTGTGTGGCCAGCTCAGCCCACCAGGGGGCGGGTCTGGCTGGCATGTGGTGCTGGGGATCGAACCGCAGTCCCTGTGCTTTGCCAAGCTTGTTTCAAGTAGGTGCTTTAGACCACTGAGCCATCTCTCCAGCCCCTCTTTTTTTTATATATTCTTTTGTTTGTTTTGAGACAGGGTCTTGCTATGTAGTAGTTCAGGTTGGCTTTGAACTCACTATGTAGCCTAGGCTGGTACCCAGTGCATGGCCATCTTCCTACCTGAGCATCCCCTGGGATTATAGGTGCCACCATGACCAGGTGTTTAAGGATCCTTTATGTTGTGTCTTATTTTTGATTCCTGGGATCTTGGCATTTAAATTCTGTGAAGATATCCTTTGTTCTCTCTGGCATTATTTTCTTTCCTACTTTGTCAATTAACATGTACAAAATGGTATTGCTTTGTTCTCTGGGCTGGGTTAGGTAACTGTGAGGTTTAAGAATTAGTAGTGTCTGTGTGTATTCTTAGTCCTTGCCCAAGATGCTAACTCTCAAGTCATCTGTCTTCTGCTGTCAGCATCTTTGTATTGATCTAGTTTCCAACTATAGGCTTCCTTTGTGCTCTCCTGCTCTGGAGGCATCTGGAGTACTCTTCCTCCAGGGGAAATGGCTGTTCTACATCTTTGATCTCCTTAGCTGCTGCAATCTCCATCTCCACCCAGAGCCTCTAATGCTCCTCAGGGGCTAGCAGTTTGATACATCTCCATTATATCACTCCTTACTTTGTGGGTTTTTTTTTTTTGTTGTTGTTTGTTTTTTTGTGTGTGTGTAACCAGGGATTGAACTCAGGCCCTTGTGCTAGCCAGGGAAGCGCTTATTCTACTGAGCCATCTCTCTGACCCCATAATATTTCATCTTTATCTTTATCTTCTCTCATCTCTTACTTAGCCCCCTCCTTCTTTACTTGTTCCTTCTCACTTCAGCCACTCCTCTTACCCAGTTGTCCTGTCCCAGACTTTTATCAAGATACCAGCAGTGGCACATGCCTGTAACCACACCTACTTGGAAGGATGAGGCCAGAAAGTTGCAATTTGGAGCCATCCTGGACAATTTAGAGATTTAGTAAGAACCTGTCTCAAAATAAAAAAATGAAAAGGGCAGGGGATGTAGTTCAATGGTAGAGTGCTTCTGGGTTTTGTCCCCAGTACCACCAAAATACAAAATCAAGCAAACAAAAGTTGCCCCCTCCATGTCTACATCTAGTTGCTTTTTTTTTTTTTTTTTTTGTGACTGGCTCAGCCCACCCTGGGGGTGGGGTTGGCACAGCATGTGGTGCCTGGGATCCAACTGGTCCCTGCACTCTTGCCTAAGTAGGTGCTTTAGACTTCTGAGCAATCTTGCTGGCCCTATATCTAATTGCTGTTGGAGAAAATCGTATACATGCATGAGCTGGTAATAAGATAGATTATTGTGGGCTTTTGCATATGTATTCATCGAATGAGATTATTTGTGATTTATTTCTTTGTGCCATTTTCAGGTTACCACCTGAAGGTAGTATTTGATTTAGAGTAAAATTATTAATTATTTATTGCTTGAAACTTTGAAAGAACTGTCCTATAAAAACATACAGACAAGGGCATCATTTTGGAGTAGTTGTTTTGTTTTGTTTTTCTTCAGCATTTTATTGCTTCTGCATCTATTGGCTGGAATGATTTTCAAATATGTATCAACTGGTTCCCTAGGGACTGGACCAATTGGGTCGGAAACCCGAGTAGATCCTGTGAACTACTGGAATACCTTTATGGTGTACACTAGCTAGAGCTTAGCCTGCTTTATTAGTTTGTCTGGGCTTTCTTTCTTTAGAATTATTTTGGTCATTTGTATTTTTTCTAGAAAACCACTTAATTAAGACTTTAAAATGTACTACATGGAACCCAGGCATGGCAGCACATTCCTATAATCCCAGCATTTGGGAGGCTGGGACAAAAGGATTGGAACAAATTTGAGGCCAGCCTGGGTTGCATAGACCCTGTTTTGAAATACTAAAAGTAAATAAATAAGCAGACAGACAGACAGACAAGCAAACCTCATGCAGCTGAGCATGGTTGAACGCCTGTAGTCCCAACACTTTGGGAGGTCGAGGCAGGAGGATCACAAGTTCAAGCGTAGCCTAGACAATTTAGCAATTTAGTGCAGTCCTCTTTCAGAATAATAAAAGGCAGGGGATATAGTTTAGTGTGAAGGATCTGGGTTCAGTCACCAGTGTCACGGGGGCATTATTACATAGTCTTAGAGTTTTGTAATTTTTTTCTTTTTTGTCAAATTAGAAATATGTTTGTATGTTTTTTTCTTCTTTTCCATCAGTGCTGTTCATCTTTTTTTTTTTTTTTTTTGAGATAGGGTCTTGCTTGTAGCCCAGGCTGGCCTCAGACTCACAGCAATCTGCTGCCTCATCTTCCCAAGTGCTGGGATTACAGGCATGCAAGACCACACTCAGTCATACTTCTTGACATAAATAAGATCTGTGGTTTTTGAAATACTCTTTTGTTTTAGGGGATGAGTGGATTTATAAAAGGAACAACTCTGATTCTTTTCTGGTTTTTTCCTGTTTAGTACTGGGGGTTGAATCCAGGGCCTCATGCTTGTTATGTTCTACTTCTTGCTCCAGCCCTATCCCCAGCCCCACCCTACCCCTTTTGTTTTGATTACTGAATATTTTCTCAGTTTATTCTTCCAGAAGAGGGGAAAAAGAGATCTATATTTATCTAGTACTGAGATTTGAAATTTTCATTGTGCCATCTTGGAGGCCACAAAATGTGGGGGTGGCGCTTCCAGGAGGTCAGTCAAGGTGCATTTGTGGCTTTGCCCTAGTTTTATTTCACCCGTCCCATTCTCCTATTAGAGTTGTTCACAGGATTGAGCTTTTCTAGCCCATGGGTTGCCCCTGGCCTAGTTTATACAGCTTTTCTGCTCTGGGTTTTGTAGGGGCCCACCCTGCCAAAGCACCAGCGCTGAGAGGAAGCACTCCTTAGGAGGTCAGAGTGACAGGGCATCTTTACTGCTGTGTTAAGCGTTTTTCTTGTCTCTGTTTTGGCAGCCCCATGTTGGCAGGGGCACTGTCTTCCCTAAGTGAGCAGGAGAATTAAGTGCCAGCAGGGCCAGTAACTGCCTGGGTCCGGAAGCCAGCTCTGAGTCTGTTGCAGTTGAGAGACAGCAGTTGAGAGATTGTTTACTCATTGCTCATTGTGATGTGTACAGTGTTGTATACCTGAGAGAGAAGACAGGGAGAGGGAGAGGGAGAGAGGATGTTAGACCAATGCTTCCCAAATTTTAACATGCTTAGGAAGCTTCTGGGCATCTTGTTAAGATCCAGACTCTGATTCAGCAAGTCTGGGGAAGGACCTAAGATTCAGTTGTCCCTGGTGATACTCTTGTTGCTAGTCATGCACCTCAAACTGAGTAGCAAAAAGCTAGAGCTCATGAGATGTCTTGTGCTGTATCTCCATATCCTGGAAACTACCTGATAGGTGTTACTGTACTTCTCATGTGGGAAATGGTGTAAAGAAGTGAACTGATTGGCTCACAGGTTCACAGCAAATTAACTTTAGGGCTGGTGTGAGCATTAGCCCAATCCTTTTAGTGCAACCCTTGCTTACTTGTTTGGGTGCCAGGTGCTGTGCCACCATAGATGCTACACCTTGCCGACCAAGGAAGAAGGCTATTCTCCAATCTTGCTTACTTCCCCACAAGTGTAGGGTTTCTCTTCTTTGGGGTTGGCTGTCCTGTTGTTACCAGCTCCTGTTACAGAGGCATCAGCCTGCCGGGATCTTAGGCCTTCTAGCCATTCGAAGCATTCTCTGAATGGCCTGAGCTGCTCTTGCAGCTCCTTCTGCTGCCAACGTCCAAAATGTCTGAAAGGTGCATCTGAAAGAAGGCCCAAGCCACCTTTCCAGGGTGGGAAGTTATGGAGGTTGCAGAGCATCCACTCTGAACCCTTGGAGGCAGAGGCCCCTGCTAAGAGGAAGGCATGTGGTGTGAGTCTGGGTGGCCTTCCGAGGAGTTCTTGGAGATCTGTCTTCTGTCCCTTCTTATGACCACCCTATTCCTTTTTTTTTTTTTTTTTTCCTGTTTAGGGAAAGGGACTGTTTGCCACAAAACTCATCCGGAAGGGAGAGACTATCTTTGTAGAAAGGCCCCTGGTGGCTGCACAGTTTCTCTGGAATGCACTTTATCGCTACAGAGGTGAGTGTCTCACCTATTCCACAAGGCTGCTGAGCCCTGCCACTTCTGTGTATGGAAGACAGCTGCATACATCTGTACTACCTGATGTCTCTGGGATGGGTCTCTGGGTGTTTGGAGAAAATGCTTTCTTCCCCTGAAGAACTGCGAGAATCACACTCTGTCCACTCTCAGGCGTTGGGGCCGTGTCCTTGCAGTGACAGGCTCCACTGATATGCTCCCTCAGGGAGGACTGTCTCAGACAGAACTGAGAGCCCCACATACTTGAGTCTGATTGAGAAACAGGAGGAGTTAGGAGGTGCCAGGATTCTTGAAAGGAAGAGGCGTCATTTAGTTTTGGATGCATGGGAAATTTATTATCTACTCCCATTAAAGTAGTCATTCATTCACTCTCAAACATCTGGAGCACCTACTTTGTGTCAGGCACTATTCTAGTTGGAAAGGTGGAAGGGGGAATACTACCATGAGAGGAGAGATAAGGCCTAGCTCTTGGGACACTTACATTGTGTCTGCCTCTCACCCTTAGCCTGTGACCATTGCCTCCGGGCTCTGGAGAAGGCAGAGGAGAATGCCCAGCGGCTGACTGGGAAACCAGGCCAGGTTCTCCCTCACCCAGAGCTGTGTACTGTGCGGAAGGACCTCCACCAGAACTGCCCCCACTGCCGGGTGAGCGTCCCAGGGGAATGTTCCTGAAAGGGGTGGGTGAGGGAGGCCTGAGTCAAAGCCCTCACTGGGGAGATGGGGCCCACACAGACCTGGTCATAGCCCTCAAGATCCCTGATGTAGGCTAAGACATTGAGAGAACTCAGTAATTGTTTGTTCCATCCTCCTTGTTCCAGTTCCATTGTCTAGTAAATGGGCTTGGTGGGAGCTTGCCTTTTTTAGGGGGCAGGGGCTTTCCTCTAGACCTGAAAAATTCTCTTTCTGTAGTTTTACAAGTCTGGGTTAGGTGCCCTCCCACATCCCCTCGAAGCACCCTCTGTTTTCTTATCTCATAATTCCCGAGTTCCTGCTTAGAGGTGTAGTTGGGGTAGGTGAGTGTCTCATGGGATGGCTGCGTTGATGTCTTCGCCCCATGGCCAGATCCTAGGGCACTGACCTCTACCCCTTCTAATAGGTGATGTACTGCAGTGCAGAATGTCGGCTGGCAGCTGCGGAGCAATACCACCAGGTCTTGTGCCCAGGCCCCTCTCAGGACGACCCCCTGCATCCTCTGAATAAGTTGCAGGAGGCATGGAGGTAGGTCTCTTCCTCTTTTCTTTATCTTTTCCTCCCGCCTACTTACCTAGGCTTAGCATATGTTGCCAACTTTCTTATTAGCATCCTACAGATATTTCCTTCATTCTTAGGGTTAAATAGAAAGCACATCACCCAATGCTCTGCCTTTAATCTGGGCTCTCAGTTCCACCACCTTCAGTGATTTTCACCATCCAGAAAGAGCCCATAGGCAAAGTTTCCTTAAGTCCTGCTCCTTTTAGTGATTGATGGAAGTAGCAGTTTCTCAGTAGCAGTCAGACTGGGCTTCCCAGAGCTCAGCTATTGGGAGGGAATTTCAAGGCCAAACTTTTTTCTTTCCCTAGGAGTATTCACTACCCACCTGAGACTGCGAGCATTATGCTGATGGCCCGAATGGTGGCCACAGTGAAGCAGGTGAGTCCATGGGAGCCTCCCAGGGACACGACTGGCCTGCTTAACCTTGGCTCTCAGCCTTACTTCAGAGCCCCACCTTGGCCGCAGTTACTCCTGGGCTGTCCAATGGAGAGATGCTTGCTGTATACAGTCTTAGCTCGGCATGAGTCAGGTGTGGGTGGTCAGGGCTCATTTTATAGATAATCTTATATTTATAGAAAGATGTGTCTGTCATGCAGCATTTGATTTATAAATTCCACTTCTACAGGATTATTTCTCTCTTTCTCTCTCTCTCTTTTTTTTTTTTTTTTTTTTTTTTTGTCTTTTTGAGACAGGGTCTCGTTGTGCAGCTCAGGGTGGACTTGAACTCATTTTGTAGCCCAGGCTGGTCTTAAACTCACAATGATCCTCCTGCCTCAGCCTCCTGAGTGCTGGCATGATTCTTTCTCTTTCATAAAGTGAGAGAAGCTATTTTTTTTTTCTCATTTATGTAGTTGGTACAGGTCTCACTACGAGCTCTGACTCATAGTGATCTTCCTATTTTCAGCTTCTGGGATTACAGGTGTGTGCCACCACACCCAGACTGTCAACAGCTCAACGCACCCTGGGGTCGGGGCTGGTGGAGCATCCAGGACAGGGAATTGAACCCGGTCCCAGTGCTTGCCAAAGCAGGCACTTAGGCTTAGTCCACTGACCTATCTTGTGGACCCAAGAGAAGCTATTCTAATCTTCTATTTAATGTTGTGGTTCCTCAGCCTAGTTTCCCATTTCCAGGTGTATTGAGTTGTCTAGTTTGGCTCCAGCTGGAGCCATGGTTGGGTTTGGGCAGCATGAGGTGGGAATCTCAGGCAGAGGCAAGGCCCTAGAAGCTCGCGTGTGCTGGTTGTTCCCTGATGACAAGGGCTTTAGAAACAGGCTGTCTGGCCTGCATAGATGAGAGGGCTATTAAGGAGATGAGTGTCCAAGACCCTTAAGTACATTTGTCCTCTAAGGCCAAGGATAAGGACCGTTGGATCAGACTCTTCTCCCAGTTCTGTAACAAAACAGCCAATGAAGAAGAGGAAATTGTCCATAAACTCCTGGGGGACAAATTCAAGGTTAGTCTTCTTGTATGACCTGTCTCCACCTCTTACTCCTCCCTAATAATGTGGGATGACTGTGGCTACTTCTGGGGAGGTCTACATTTTATCTCTTCCAAAATACAGATAGGGATTAGAACCTGGGCCCCCCGAATTGATCAAGGACTTACATTCCTTACATTTAACTTCATGATGTACTGTAGACCTAAAATTGGGAAATGGGAGAGTGGGGTAGTAACAGAGGAGAGGCGGATACCCTACCCTACGAATTTTCCTTATATTGACTGAGAAGACAAGACTCCTGTCAGAGGGCAGCAGCAGAGAAGTCAGTTATGCTGGCAATGAGAAGGCTGCCTGTGCCTGTTCCCAGAGTAGAGATTTGTAGTGAGGACAGCACATTTCCATATGGAGCTGCCTGATGGCAGAGGCAGCTGTAGGGAAGGAATGCTTCTGGGGTGGCCCCCCTGTACTGAATTCAGAAGAAAAGGAAGAACTGAGTTAGTTTGGAGACCAGGTCAGGAGGCCCAAGAGAGGTAGTGAGATCAAATGTCCTAAGCCAACCTGCCCGGGCCTCGCTGGTACAAGTGCTAGAAAACAAGGAGAAGGCTTAGATTCATTATCCTGGGTTGAAGGCCAGCAGACTGCCAAAGCCCTTTGGAGGAAAGGACTCTGGGGCCTTCCTTTTGACTCCAGGCAAAAGATCGGTCTGCAGAATGGGCTTTTTTTCCCTCCCTGGTCTTCTGGGCCCTACCTGGATGCTAAGGGGATATCCCCAGGGATACAGGTTTTTCCCTACTTCTGATTCACCAGGGCCAGCTAGAACTTCTACGGAGACTCTTCACGGAGGCCCTCTATGAGGAAGCACTTAGCCAGGTGAGTGTGGAAAGGCTTGGGCAACCACCTCCTGGTCACCCCGTTCCCCAGGAGCAACTCGGTCTGTGTCTCCTGAGGCAGCTAAGACAAAGCTGGCTTGGTCTTTTCAAGTCAGGATGGGGCAGATGCTTGTGAGTTTTCCTGAACAGAGCCATAGCAGACAGAAAGCAAGTGATTGTAATCCCAGTGCTCAGCTCTTCTCTTTTTCTCTGCAGTGGTTCACTCCAGATGGATTCAGGTCTCTCTTTGCTCTTGTTGGGACCAATGGCCAAGGAATTGGGACCAGGTTAGGAGAGAATGTTCTAGAGCTATTAGATTGTCCCTCAGGGAGCCACGTGTTCTTTCAAGCCTGGGGTGGGGTTGACTTTGGCCAGGGTGCTGAGCTGGTTATGGTAGGGGGAACCCAGTCTCAGGAATTTGCTTTTGAGAACTTTGGTCTATTGGAGAATTGGGACCCCAGCTTGAAGAAAGAACTGGGGTGGGGTGGGAGCCTCTTCACCTGGGCTTAACTTGCCCTGTCATTTGGGGCTTTTCTCCAAACATGGGCCGCCTGGGAACCCCAGCTCCCTGAGCCAGTGGGTCCATGCCTGTGATGCTCTAGAGCTGAAGCCTCAGGACCGCGAGCAGCTGGATGCCTTCATTGACCAGCTGTACAAGGACATCGAGGCAGGTTGGTAACATGGGATCATAGCCTCACCCCCCTTTGGACACCCTTCTTCCCCCAGACAGATGGTGAGCACAGTCGTTCCCAGGAAGCATTGAGTTAATGGTGGGGAAAGTCATCCCTTTGTACCTATGGGCAGCTTCAGCTCTGTCCATAGGACACATGCTTGAGAAATGGCCCAGAGATCCAGAGGCTCCATCCTGGGAGGAGGGGGAGTGCCGGACAAATAGGGTGATGTTGCAGACAGAAGAGCAAGCTTGTGCTTCAGAGAAGCAGTTTCGGTAAAGTGGTAGGGCTGCATATGTTAGTGTGGTGGGGTGGCAGGACAGTGGAGCTGGTGCCTTTCTTCGTCAGCCTCATTTCCTTTTACCTATAAAATGGGTACAACCGTATAAGTATATTACTATTTTACAGCTACCGGCGAGTTCCTTAACTGTGAAGGGTCTGGCCTCTTTGTGCTTCAGAGCTGCTGTGAGTCATGGCATGGGGTGGGAGCGGGGGTGAGGGTGGGGTGGACTGGGCCCTTGCTGGGTAGCCTCATAGCCACAGTTCATTTTTCTCGGATGGGCCTTCTAGGCTGGCTGGCTGGAATCTGTGAATGGGGTTAGGCCTGAGCTTCTTTGGGGATTCCCTTAGGTGGCTATTTGTTTACCATTTATTTATTCAATTGCTTGTAGTTTTTTTGTATGTGTGTGTGTGGTGCTAGGGTTGTAACCCAGAGCCAAACATGTACTATGTAAGTGTTCTGCCACCAAGCTACACCCCTAGTCATCTGCTTATGCTTTAATAGATGCTTACCTATGAAAGCTTACGGTGTGCCAGGCCCTATCTAAGGTGGACACAGAGATTGGCATATCACAAAGGAAAATTTGGGCTTTGCTCCATCACTGCCTAGGGGGATGTGTTAGGGATGCATTCAGAGAGTCCAGGAGGCCTGCAGGGTGCCAGGGAGAGGGAGCACAGGCAAGAAGGCCAGTCTCGTCAGCACCTGACAGGGAGGGCCAGCGCTAGCTCTAATAACTGCCTTTATCATGTCTCAGCCTCTTAGCCCTCGGTTTTCTCACTGCACATCCCTCCTGCCAGGCTCTAAAGAGCATTCTCAGTGGGCCAAGTTAGCCATTATCTTTTGTCCAGTAGCAGACAGGACTGTGCTGGGTTGTGTGATGTGGGCAGCCTTTCAGAACCCTGTCCTCTCTTAATGAGACAGTAAGAACATAACTGAGAATGATTGGCCAGTCTTGGGAGGTTGGAACGGGCAGTAATGTGTGAGTGCATTTTTGCCTGTGTGCTGTGGTCTTCAGGAAAGAGCGCTGGATGGGGAGGCTGAAAACCTGGGATCTGATACCCACTCAGCCCTGCCAGGATTCTGAGAACAGAAAAGAAAGGGACTCAGTGCTCTGCAGAATTGAGGTTGTTGTTATTATTTTAGTAATACTTGTTATTGGCTGGGTATGGTGGTGCATGCCTATAATCCCAGGACTCAGGAGGCTGAGGCAGGAGAATGGTTGTGAATTTGAGACCAGCCAGGGCTACAAAGTGAGCTCAAGGCCAGCCTGAACTGCATAGTGAGACCTTGTTTCAAAAAGTCAAAAAACAAAATAAAACACCAAACTCATTACTTGCCTCTTATGACCCAGGCAACCACAGCTGTGTCCCCAATGCAGAGACTTCCTTCCCAGAAAACAACTTCCTTTTGCATGTCACCGCCCTGGAGGATATTAGCCCAGGAGAGGTGAGAGGGCCTAGGGCTGCAGGGATTGGGGTGGACAGTGGGCCTGGTCAGTTCTCCCCGGAGATTAGGAGCAGTAGTGACTAGAGCCTCTTGAAGTCAGGATCTTGGAGGTTTCTCACACTTCTTAGGTCCTGAGTGTTTGTCCATCAGTATGTTCTAATCCCACCCTACTTCAAGAACCAACTTCAGAAAGCTGAAGAGCAGTGTTTGAGGGACAAGGTTTGTGCCTAGGTTCCTGTCCCCAGCCACCCTTTGACCAACAGATCTAAGAACACGGGAGGTAGTTCTTCATGCTTGGTCTGTGGGGAGCTGGTTATGTTTGGATGTCCTGGTTATGAAAGCAATGCACAGAACAAGTAGAATCACACCAAGATAACCTCTGAGTCTGGCTGCAGACCGTGGCCACTGACTGGCTTTCTCTGTGGCCTGAAGCTTCCTATAGTCTTCCCTCTGTTTCTGACACTGGTTGTGGAAACCTCATAGTGCCTGCCTGATGAAACCATGAGAAATGAATTGGGGTAGCTCAGCCTGAAGCTCAGGCCTGGCTCCCAGGAATTAGATAGTGGTTGGGGCTAGAACAGTTGTTAGGGAAGCCCTTATCCTATCCAATGGAAGGTACCCATCTACTTAGTCTAATCCAGTCTATCATAATATGAGACCCCTCCCCCTGCCCCCATTTCTCCTCTGCCCTGCAGGAAATCTGTATCAGCTACTTAGACTGCTGTCAGCGAGAGCGCAGCCGCCACAGCCGCCATAAAATCCTCAGGTGCCAGCTGGGGACATGGTTGGGCAGCTGGGCTCAGGGGTCCTCCATCCCATTGCTGCCTGACTTGACCCTCATCATCCTCCCCAACTGCAGGGAGAACTATCTGTTTGTCTGTTCCTGCCCTAAATGCCTGGCAGAGGCTGATGAACCTAATGTGACCTCTGAGGAGGAGGAAGAAGAGGAAGAGGAAGGAGAGCCAGAAGATGCAGAACTCGGGGATGAGATGACTGATGTGTGATGTTGCCCTCCCTGGAAGGGGCCTTGCCCAAGATCCTGCTGGAAAAGGAGGCCCTTTCCCCCCAGAGAAGAGGCTTGGAAGGAACTCCCTACTCCCATTGCCTGCTTTCCACCTTCCAGCACTCTGCCAGAACGTAAGATGAGGGCTGCATCCTAGGCTCCACATCCCCCACAGACCTCATGCCCTGAGCACTGCTGCTGAGTTGGCTCAGGCTCTGTGCCATCACTGAGCCTTTCAGAGCTGGCCTCCCTTGAGTTTACTCCTAGATGTGAGCGGTTGGAACCAGGGTCTGGGCCTAACAGTATTCTTAGTCCACACTTACCTGTCCACCAGAGGCTTCTCCCCTCTTAACTGGTTATTGATTTATTTTGAAGGGGTAACAAAGTGGCATATTTCACACCACACCAGTTTCATTGAAGTGGAGATGGGAGGTGTGGCACTTCACCTTCCCTGCCTCACACTTGCCACAGCTGTAGCTCGTTGGGTGACGGCCTGCCCATGAGCCAGAGGGTAGAGCCAGGAAGGAGGGTCTGCGGCCTCAGAGTACCTTTCCCCCATTCCCACTGTTTGGGCATCAGGGGAAGTGGAGATTAACCCCTTCACTGGACTCCAGAATCTCTGTACCTCGTGCCTTGTCTCTCAGGCCCTGGCACAGTAGTCCCCATGGGGTGTAGAAGAGACCTCTGCCTTCCTCAGGAGGAAATGGTTGCCCTTTCTTACACCTTCTTCCCACTGAGGGTTCTAGCAATCAGGCGGAGACTTTTGGGATGATAGGCTGTGGTCCTTAGTTTAGGATGCTCAAGTCTTCCTGGGGCCTGTTAAAATGGGCCAGTGATCTCCATTGATCTCCATTTCTAGTTTCCCCAGGGGAACACTGAAGTCTTCCGGAAACCTAAAGGAGCTGGGCTAGATACTTGGTGATTAGCCATGACTGTCCCTTCATGCCCCAGATGAGCGTTCCTCTCACTTCTGGGCTGGAACCCCCTGTTCCTTCCTGCCTACCTTCCTTGAGGGGCCCCCCACATCATCTGAGAGATCCCAGGGAAGACAGGTGACACACTTTAGGCCCTTTGCTGGCCATGGAGCCTGCCCATCTGCCTCTCTCACTTGCTGGGTTTTGCTCATTCACAGCAGTCAGCACCCTCTCCTGACCCACTGACCCACTTCCTCAATAAAATATGAGTGGCAACAGGCCTTTGTAAGATTGTTTTATAGAGAATGGCTGGACAGGGCTCCCAGCAGGCAGAGAGGTAAACCCAAAGGAACACAAATTAGACCATATGATAGCAGCAAATGAGAGCTACAGTCTCCAGTTATGCTCATCTTTGTGCAAATGTTCCTAAAGCAGAGTAAAGGTCTTCCAAAGCCTGGCTTTGGTCTCCAGCACTAGGCTACAAGATGATTCTTCTCCCCAAGCACTGAACTACAGCTTTCTGGGGACTTCCTGAACTCTTCACGGAGCTGCCTTGGGATCCAAGACTTAACAGTCTGAGCACTGGTTCTAAAGGATCTAGGGAAAGTGCATTCCCTGGACCTCACTTGTCTTTCCGCAGAATAATAGTTTGGGACCAGAAGAGTAAGTCTGAAAACCCCAGCCCTGTGTGTTCTTTTTTTTTTTTTT